AGCAGCAGCTCCTCATGGGGCCAATGGAGATCCCCACTCTCTTCATTCACCTCAGAGGCTTCCACCACAATAGACAGCAGATGGGACTTTTGAGAGAAATCCTGAATAGGGACAGCAAGGAGGTTGGGCCAAATTGGAGGGTAAGCCAGCTGCCAGACACAGGGTGGGGAAGTATAACCTGAATATGCCAGTGACCTTCAACCTTGCCAACTTTTCCTCTGTCCCAGAGAGGGTTGGCCAGCCTGGGACTCTGGATCCTGGGAGGAGCCTGGGCTATTTGTAGTCCAAAGCCCATCCTCCTTGCTTCTCCCTGGCACAAGGGCCATGGTGGTGATTCTTAGAGTGCAAGATGATTGAACTCAGAGGAGGGTATTCCTGCCCACAAACTGTTCCTTTAATCTTCTTTGGAGCCTGGCGCCTTAAGCTCTGACTGTGCTAAGTGATTATGGGCCTTCAGGGCAGGGGAAAATGCCCAAGACATGAGATCGGATCTTTATTTCTACTTACTCCCTGGAGACACTGGGATGGCAGCAAGGGTAGGAGACAAGGGCACCTGGATTAAAGCCCTGTGGGCCAAGAGTTGTGATAACCAACTTGGAATTTCCTGACTCCTTTGCTTACTGATTTTCCCAACCTGGCATGTTTGTATGTTATTTAATGAATATTTATATGGTGTTTACTCTTTGTCAGGAGCTGTTTTGCTTTACACATAACTCATTTAATTCTCCTAAAACTGTGAGACAAGTACTGTTATAAGCTCATTTTCTGATGCAGAAACCGGGGCACAAGAACTTGCCTGTAATCAGTCACACAGCTAAAAGGTGTTTTCTTCTGTAAAGCAGAATTCAGTATGTTAAACGAATCCAGCCTTTTAGTGGTTGAAAACAAAGCATAACAGCCAGGCACGGTGGCTCACACCTGTAATCCCAGCATTTTGGGAGGCCGAGGTAGGCGGATTACGAGGTCAGGAGCTCGAGACCAGCCTGACCAACATGGTGAGACCCCGTCTCTACTAACATTACCAAAAATTAGCCGACCGTGGTGGCGGGCGCCTGTAGTCCCAGCTACTCGGGAGGCTGAGGCAAGAATGCCGTGAAACCGGGAGGCAGAGCTTGCAGTGAGCCAAGATCCTGCCCCTGTACTCCAGCCTGGGTGACAGAGTGAGACTCCGTCTCAAAAAAAAAAAAAGAAAAAGAAAAAAGAAAACAAAGCAAAACAAAAAGCAATACCAGCCGGGCGTGGTGGTGCACGCCTGTAATCCCAGCTATTCGGGAAGTTGAGGCAGGAGGATCCCTTGGGCCCTGGAAGTCGAGGCTTCAGTGAACCATGATCGCCACTGCACTCCAACCCTGGGCGACAGAGCGAGACCTTGTCTCCAAAAACAAACAAAACCACGCCCACACACTAACAACAAAACCAAAAAAGCCCTAGACAATACCAAGTGTGTACCATAACGAGAAAAGGAACAGGTTGTTTGTAAAATAAATGTTAAAGATAAGTTACTATTACCCATTTCTCCAACCAGTACACTTGACTTTCAGTGTTTGTTCCAGAGTTGAGGGGATGGAGAGGGATATGTATGTGTATGACCTCCATTCGCTGTGTTGAAAACGCGCGGGTGACTGCAGGAAACCACAGAGCGCAGCTCGGGCCTCTACTGATCGGGAAACGTCGGAAGACAGAAAAATGGGCAATCATAAAACCCACGGCAACCATGAAGACACGCACTCTCCCCCTAGCAATCCCACCCCGGAACTGAGGACACAGGGTGCCCACGCTCAGCCCTTGGCGCCAGCACTTCTTGGACACCCTCAACCCCCTCAGCTAAACCTGAAATCCCGGCGCTCCGGATTCTAAACGTTTCCTTGAGCGGGTCCTCTCTAGCCGGCCGTTTATCTATGGTTTCTGCTATAGGGCGCTCTAGCCTGCGCGAAGGGGCAGTGAGACCGCGCGGGTACCGCTCGCGGCTGCGGTGAACTCCGGTGGGCGCCCTGCTGGTTGTGCAGGCAGCCATGGAGTTCTTGCGGAAAATGCTGATCACAGTCGCAGTGCTGGGCGCAGGGGCTGGCGTGGGCTTCGCGCTCCTTGCTATCGTGACCCCCGGGGAGCAGCGGAAGCAGGAAATGCTAAAGGTAGAAGCAACTGGTAATCCCGAGGATGGGTGGGCGAGTGGAGAGCCCCGGACTGGAGCTCCTGCGAACTCCCCTTCCTGCCCTCAGGAGATGCCACTGCAGGACCCGCGGAGCAGGGAGGAGATGGCCAAGACCCAGCAGCTATTGGTGGCCACTCTGCAGGAGGCAGCGACCACACAGGAGAACGTGGCCTGGAGGAAGAACTGGATGGTTAGCGAAGGCGGCGCCGGCGGGAGGTCACCGTGAGACCGGACTTGACCCTGTGGGCGCTGGGACCTTGGCTCGGGCGCAGGAATCCGATGCGGGCTTTCTCCTTCGTGGGCCCAGCGGGGAGTCCGGCCGAGATGCCATGCCCAGAACTCTCCAGGGTCCTGTGAGCTGCCGTCGGGTGAGCACGTTCCCCCCAAACCCTGGACTGATTGCTTTAAAGTCCGCAAAGCGGGCCAGGGCCGAGACGCGAGTCGGCTGTGGTTAACTGAAAGAATCAATAAATCATGTTCCTCCACCCAGAATGAGCCCTGCAGTCGACACCTACCAATGCTTAGAGACCTGTGGTCGGTGCTGGGGGCATGGCCTGCACCTGCCACCTGTCCCATCCCACCAGAAGAAGCTGATCTCAATAGGTATCTCGACCACATTCTCTTTCTCTTTTCTTTTCTTTTTTTTTTTTTGAGACGGAGTCGCTCTCTGCCACTCAGGCTGGAGTGCAGTGGCACGATCTCGGCCCACTGCAACCTCTGCCTCCCGGGTTCAAGCGATTCTCCTGCCTCAGCTTCCCGAGTAGCCGGGATCGCAGGCGCGTACCACCACGCCCAGCTAATTTTTGTGTTTTTATTAGAGACAGGGTTTGACCATGTTGGCCAGCCTGGTCTCGAACTCCAGACCCAGGTGATCCGCCCGCCTCGAACTCCCAAAGTGCTGGGATTACAGGTGTGAACCACCTCACCCTGCTGCGGCCACAGTTTCTATTTCTTTTTTTTTGAGATAGAGCCTTGCTCTTGTTGCCCAGGCAGGAGTGCAGTGGCGCAATCTTGGCTCACTGCAACCTCCGCCTCCTGGGTTCAAGCTGTTCTTACTTAGCCTTCCAGGTAGCTGGGATTACAAGCGTCCGCGACCACGCCTGGCTGATATTTGTAGTTTTAGTAGAGGCGGGTTTCACCATGTGGCCAGGCTGGTCTCGAACTCCTGACCTCAGGTGATTCACCCGCCTTGGCCTCCCAAAGTGCTGGGATTACAGGCCTGAGCCACTGCACCCGGCCAACCACATTTTCAAAACAGGTCATGTGGTGTCAGGTTGGAGTGTACTTCCCGGGATAACCGTGGGACATTCCTGAAATCTGAACTATCCTGGAAAATCTTGAAGTAATGGATGCCTACAGAGGACACTCAGGACTCCTGTCCTTGGAGCGAGATTGGAGGAGCATCTAGCACTTAACATATGCCGCAGTGCTTTCTGTGCCCGTTATTTAACCTCTGGTTAAACAAGCTTAGGAGGCTGACTTACTAGAAGTAAAAGGAGTGTGCTTTGAGTCACAGATCTTAGTTCAACTCCAGCATGTTACAAACCTCAGTCCTGTTCTCTGAAAGGTCATAACTATGAGGATTAGTGTAAAAAATTAATTTAGAAATGTAAAGTGGTCTCCAATCTGAATCCGGTCAGGATTTATTGGAGTTGCCACTGAGAGGATGAAATAAGTGGGGTCAAAGCCCCACAGCCTAGCCAACCAAGTTGCTCTTCTTTTGTCTATCCTCTGGTTCCCAAGCAAGATTGCAATGGAAAAAAAGGCTGCTGTTTATTAAAGTCAGAACACCAAGTAAAGCTTTTCTTTCTTTTTCTTTTGAGACAGAGTTTCTCTGTTGTTGCCCAGGCTGGAGTGCAATGGAGCTATCTCAACTCACTGCAACCTCCGCCTCCCAGGTTCAAGCGATTCTCCTGCCTCAGCCTCCCAAGTAGCTGGGACTACAGGGGTGCGCCACTACGCCAGGATAATCTTTGTATTTTTAGTAGAGACAGGGTTTTGCCGTGTTGGCCAGGCTGGTCTTGAACTCCTGATCTCAGGTGATCTGCCCGCCTCGACCTCCCAAAGTGCTGGGATTACAAGTATGACCCACCGTGCCTGGCCCCAAACAAATCTTTCTAACACTGGGGTATAAACCCAGATATGAGCATTGGTGCTCTTTTCAGATCTTTACAAAGTAACTGTGTCCTCTCCCCTAGCCCAGGAAGGAGAGGAGGAGTCAGGAGCAGTTTGACAGGACACCAGGGTGGGGTGATCAGCAGCTGGAGGAGCTATCAGAGAAGCTCATGAGTGCTTCTTGGTTTTAAAAAGCAAAGAGAAGCGCCAACATGTGAGACCCTGTATCTACTAAAAATACAAAAATTAGCCGGGCATGGTGGCGCATGCCTGTAGTCCCAGCTACTCGGGAGGCTGAGGCAGCAGAATTGCTTGAACTCAGGAGGCAGAGGTTACTGTGGGCCGAGATCATGCCACTGCACTCCAGCCTGGGTGACAGAGCAAGACGTTGTCTCAAAAAAGAAAAAAATTACCCTTTTAGCCCAGGATTTTGGGAGGCCGAGACAGGCAGATCTTGAGGCCACGAGTTTGAGACCAGCCTGGCCAACATGGTGAAACCCCATCTCTACTAAAAATATAAAAAATTAGCCAGGTGTGGTGGCGCACACCTGCAAACCCAGTTACTAAAGAGGCTGAAGCTGAATCGCTTGAATCCGGCAGACGTTGGTTACAGTGAGCCGAGATCACACCACTGCACTACAGCCTGGGAGCTAGAGTGAGACTCCACCTCAAATAAGTAGGTAAAATTATCCTTTTAGTAGCTAATGCTTACTGGGGATTTATTAGGTACTAGGCACTATGCTAAAGCATCTTACACCAGCATTATGTAACCCTCATGACAATCCCAAGAAACAGGCACTATTATCCCTATTCTATTAAGAAGCTAGGTTTTCTGGGTGAGATGTGAAATAACTTAAATGACATCACTAAGGTAGCAAAGCTGAAGGAAAAGTGTAAGAAGGATGTCGCTGACCATAAGTCGAAAGGAAGGTTTGATGGTGCAAAGGGTCCTGCTAAAGTTGCCTGGAAAAAGGTGGAAGAGGAAGATGAAGAGGAGGAGGAGGATGAATAAAGAAACTGTTTATCTGGCCAGGCACAGTGGCTCACGACTGTAATCCCAGCATTTTGGGAGGCAGAGGTGGGC